GAGAAAGAGAGGAGAGGGAGAGGAGAGAAGAGAGAAGAGAGAGAGAAAAGAGAGAGAGGAGAGAAAGGAGAGAGAGAAGAGAGAGAGAAGAGAGAAAGAGAAGAGAGAGAAAGGGGAGAAAGGAGAGAGAGAAGAGAGGAGAGAGAGAGAAAGAGAAGAGAAAGGAGAGAGAGAAAGGAGAGAGAAGAGAGAAAGAGAGAAGAGGGAGAGGAGAGAGGAGAGGAAAGAGAGGAGAGAAGAGAGAAAGAGAAGAGAGAGGGGAGAGAGAGGAGAGAGAGAGAAGAAAGAGAAAGGAGGGGGAGAAGAGAGAAAGAGAGGAGAGGGAGAGGAGAGAAGAGAGAGAGAAAAGAGAGAGAGAGAGAGAAAGAAGAGAGAGAGAGTCTGGGCCATCCATCAACCTCAAATGGAGAGTCAACAGCCGCCAGGTCTGGAGGTGGCTGATGAGGAAGAGGAGGAATAGCTGAGTAAAGTGCCTGATGCGCAGAGAGGAGAGGAGAGAGCAGTGGAAATCTATGGGCCGGTCCTTGGGACGGAAGAGCTACTGCTGCTAACGAAACCCCACCCTATCTCTGGGGATAAAAGGCAGAGGGCGGAGTTGAATAGATGTGGCAGACAACGATTCACCTTCCGGACAGACGGACTTGTTAGCCTGCGAGAGAAATTTTTTTGCTGGGGGTTGCCGGCGCTCCGAATAAAGGAATCTTTTGACTTCACGTCAGAGGGTTTGTCGTGTTTTGGGGAGCTGGCTCAGAACAAGGACAGTAAAAATAATGCCATCAATTACTGCAGCATCCCCATAGTCACATGATCAAAACTCCCAGGCTTGGCTACTGACTCACATTTATGATGGTGATGTGATCCCTTGTGGAGACCTGACCAGCAAAGGCGATGGGGGTGGGGGGGTGGGGGGGGGAAGCCAGATTCATTTAACAACCATGTTGCTAAGTTAAACCACTGCAGCGATTCACTTAACAAACCATGGCAAGAACAGTCGTAAAACGGGGCAAAAGTCACTCCACAAACACCTCACTTAGCCGTGGAAATCGAAAGCTCAGTTGTGGTTGTAGGTAGAGGGTGACCTGTATAGGATCTCCTGCTCAAGCAGAGGGTTGGACTAGAAGACCTCCAAGGTCCCTTCCAACTCAAGTTATCCCATTTGAAATCTTTGGCATACTTTGCTCGAATTGTCCAAAACCCTTTTCAACATTTTAGATGTCAGCATGGCTCGGAACTGCTGACATCCCGCGAGCAGACTTTTAGCACTGTCAAACCTTCACATCTGGCTATCCCAGGTCCTTGGAAAGGACTCAAGCATGTACAAAAATGCCAAATCCAGTCTGAACATCTGGCTGGCTGTGCGACAAACCAATAACAACAGCAATAATAAGCCACAAGGTCATTTAATCCTCCCTTGTGCAGGACATGTTAATCTGAAGCTGAAGAAAGGCAGATCTTAGCAAATATAATCAGCTAAGTTTCGGTGTCACGTTGTCAGTTACACCGGAAATAATTTGAAGATGGAAAATGAAAACAACAACAACAACAACCCAGATTAATAATGATCCCAACTGCTTAATTTGAAATGCTGACCACGAAGTAGCTAAGCATCTGGAACAAGATGGACTCAGCACACCTCACCCAGGTTGAACTCCATGAGATGAAAGTCATCACTTGGCTTGCAGGCAGCCGGTGGTGGTTAATTGTTCCTGTGGCTTGTAAGCCAGGATTAGAGGCTTAATGAAGTGCACTTCCACACAGCATTGAAGTCAGCAGTCTTGCCAAGAAATTCCCAGGCAGAAAATTTGAAGGAGCATCTTGGTTTTGGTTCATTTGAACCATCTATCGATAAAGACTTCAGGAATCGTGGTTTTGTTCATGCCGGCAAGCCTCAAAGGTCTGCTTCTTCAATCATGGTCAAGGTTTATCTCCTAGAAGAACGCAACGCACTGGGCTGAGCCGCCATCTCGTCTCCCAAGAGGGTTAGTAAGCTATTCTGGCTACTGGTACTCCGTATAAAAAACTCCCTTCTTACTGGCGCCGCCAGAGATACGTCTGGATGGAGTTGGCGGGAATTTGGGTGGAAATAAAACCAACCGAGTCGGAAATTCCAAAGGTGAGGTTGAACGAAGACCTGGGTCGAGAGGAGAGATGGAAAAGAAGGGAAGGAAGAAAAGATGGGAAAGAAGAGAGGAGGAAAATAAGAAAAGGAGAAGGGAAAAAGAGAGAAGAAACAGAAGCAGGAACACAATCACAAAACCGTGGGTAAACAGGCACACAACTGTACATTACTTTTACGCCAGTGTATTTGTCACAAGTTTTTATTTTTGTCGTTGCTAATTCCTGCAGTTTGCTAGAGGCTTTGACACCTAGTTAGGTGTGAAAGATTCAGACCACTGAAATGGGCGCTTATTTTTTTGACTGCCATGCTCCATTTTTTTCCAAGGATTTATTAAATTTATATGCCGCCCCGAAAAAAGTGACTCATTTTGAGTCCAGAAGCCAACACACTCAAATCGAGAGAAGGGATACAATTTGTTCACGCGATATGTTATCTTAAGTGACGTGAACCTTGGATAGTGTCAGGATTCCAGCAGTTCCCCCCAATTAAATCATGAGTCTCGAGCCAAACTTCCAAAACTTCCAAAGGATTTATTGGGAGTTACCATATCTGGCACTGTCTGGGTGTAACCAACTCTGAGACACATCATTCATGGTCACCTTTGACCTTGGTTTTCCCCACCCCCCCACCCCCTGGGTGTATCGTAATTCATATTCCCCAATGGGACACCTCCATAGCCCAGAGTCATCCATCATGCTCTCCAGTTCGATATTTGCGAGGTGAAAACTTCAATCATTTAGTTACTATCTCTGAAAAACTATTTATGGAATGCACTTTCGATTTCCAAGCTGCCGCACTGCTCTTTCAAACCCCTTTTTCCCCCCCCTCTCCCTTTCTGTTGGCAACTCTAAAAAAGACCCTAGAAATATTTTATGAGTTGACAGATAGCCTGCTTTGAAGCGAGAAGCGTTTGAAAAGGACCAAAAAAACAAAAAAATCACCCTTCATGAGAACTAGAAACTTGGCTCTTTGAAAGCACAGACGTTTGGAATACTGGCACTCACCGGTTAAGGACCACCACTACTGCCGATCCATCGGGACGAAGCACCGCGACGTGTTCCAGGTTGCAACTAAAGTAAGTTTTAACCACCGTCAGCCCAACGCACTGAGATCCTTCAACAATGAACTTGCTACGAGGGGAGAAAAAGGAGAAGAGGATTAAGAGATCCTGCTGGGGGAAGGGGATCCACCAATTTAGAAATCCTGAGCATGAAATTGGGGGGAGGGTTCCCTGAAAAGCTGTGCCTTAAGACGGTACACAAAACGTTCCCCTTCACTTTTTCCCCAAAGTGATAATTGTGTAGGGTGGTTAGCTGGTTGAGTTTAAAGTTGGGCAGTTGAGTTTCAGGTTGGCCAGTTGACCTCAAGGGTTAGTCAGTTGATCTTGTTTGGTTGGATGGGTTTAAAGTTAGTTAGTTGTGCTTAAGGTTAATCAACTGAGCTTCAGATTTGTCAGTTGAGTTTCAGGTTGGCCAGTTGAACTTAAGATTGGCTTGTTGATCTTAAGGGTTAGCCCGTTGCACCTAAGGTTAGTCAATCAAGCTTAAGGTTGGTCGGGTTGAGTTTAACATTAGTTAGTTGATCTTAAGGTTGATCAGTTGAACTTCAGATTAGTCAGCTGAGGTTAAGGTTGGCTTGTTGAGTTTAAGTTGGGCCAATTGGGCCAAAGGTTAGTTCATTGAGCTTAAAGTTGGCTGATTGAGTTTAAAATTAATTGGTTGAATTTAAGATTGGCCAATTGAGTTTAAGATGAGTTGGCTGAGCTTAAAGTTGGCTTGTTGAGCTTAAGGTTGGCCAGTTGGGCCTAAGGTTAATCAGCTGAGCTTAAGATTGGCTCGTTGACCTTAACATTAATTGGTTGAGCTTAAGGTTGGCTGGTTGAGTTTAAGGCTTAAGGTTAAGGTTAGCTGGTTGAACTTGAGATTGGCTCGTTGAGTTTAAGGTTAATCAGTTGAGCTTAAGGTGGGCTGGTTGAAGTTAAGATTGGCTCATTGAACCTAAGGTTGGCTGGTTGGTTAGTCAGTTGAGTTTAAGGCTAGATGGCTGAGCTCAGATTTCCAGTTGAGCTTCAGGTTAATTGGTTGAACTTAACGTTGGCCAATTGACCTGAAAATTCAGTTGAGCATCTATGGTTGAGGGTGGACTTAAACCTAGTATATCCTTAAAATACGCACCAGATTTAGACTGAGTTTTCACGAGGTAGAGGTGGTTAACCCCTCTGTTGCCTTCTTCCAACCCAGCTCTCCTTGGGGTCTTCTACAGACCCAAGAAGGCCAAGAATCTGATCTGAAGTTTCATCACTACTCCTAACCCACTAAGGTCACTTTTTGGGGGGTTCAATGGCCCAAAATCCACAGCCCAGCCCGGCCCGGCGGTTACACCTGAAGTGCCCCAGGTGATAGAACATGGGCTGCTTGTAGAAGCTGTCGCTGCTGGCGTCCACAAGGATGGGACTATCCACATAGTTCTTCACCCAGTTTGGTCCCCCTTGTAAATCCAGGGCCAGGTTCCAATCGATCCAACCGACGACGTGGTGATTCAAGTTCTAGAAGGAAGACCGGGAAAGAATCAGGGTCTCTGAAGAGGAGGGCATGCTAAGTCTCATCAATTTACTTCACTCCCTTCCACCTTCTTTCTTTTCTTTTCTTCCTTCCTCCAACTGCCTTTTTTCTGTTTGCTTTCTCTCAATACTTGCACGCCCTTCCTTCCTTCCCATCTCTCCTTCTTTTCTTCCCCTACAATTCCCCTTCCTTCCTTCCCATCTCTCCTTCCTTCCTCTTCTCTTCCCCTACAATTCTCCTTCCTTCCTTCCTTCCTTCCTTCCTTCCTTCCTTCCTTCCCATCTCTTCTTCCTTCCTCTTCTCTTCCCCTACAATTCTCCTTCCTTCCTATCTTCCTTCCTTCCTTCCTATCTCTTCTTTCTTCCTCTTTTCTTCCCTTCAATTCCTCTTGCTTCTTTGCTTCCTTCCTTCCTTCCTTCCCATCTCCTTCCTTCCTCTTCCCTTCCCCTACACTTCTCCTTCCTTCCTTCCTTCCTTCCTTCCTTCCTTCCTTCCTTCCTTCCTCCTTCCTTCCTTCCTTCCTTCCCATCTCTTCTTTCTTCCTCTTTTCTTTCCTTCAATTCCCCTTGCTTCTTTGCTTCCTTCCTTCCTTCCCATCTCTCCTTCCTTCCTCTTCTCTTCCCCTACAATTCTCCTTCCTTCCTTCTTTCCTATCTCTTCTTTCTTCCTCTTTTCTTCCCTTCAATTCCCTTTGCTTCCTTCCCATCTCTCCTTCCTTCCTCTTTTCTTCCCCTACAATTCTCCTTCCTTTCCCCCCCGCCTGCTTTTCTTCCTTCTTCTCCCTTCCTTTTTTTTCCTTCATCCATCTCTCCCTCCCTCCTTCCCTGCCTCTTTCCTTCCTCTACCATTCCCCTCCCTCCCTCTTCCCTCCCTTCCCTCTTCCTTTTCACTCCTTTCTCTCCCTTCCTCCTATCGTTCCTTCTGACCCTCCCCCCTTCCCTTCCTCCCACTGCCTCTCTTGTTCCTTTTTTCTCCTCCCTCCCTTCTTTCCTCCCCCTCTCTTCCACCGACCCCACATTGTACCTCCAAGATGCTATGGCTGTAGTCCTCGCCTCGATCCCAGGAGCCCAGGATAACGTCCTGTTCCCAAAAGAAAGATCCAGCGCAGGCTTCGGTGGCAATCAAAAAATAGTCAGGGAAGAGATGCTGGGTGGCTTCTACTGTCCCCTCGATGGAGCTGATGAAGTCCATGTACCAGTGGAGGCCAATGCCGTGAATGTAGCGATAGGCTTGGCTCTCACTGCTCAACACCTGGACAGGGGAAAAGGTATCAGAGTCGGGAGAGAATGCAGAGGCCATCCAGTCTAACCCCCGTGGACCTGCAGAAATCGCTACTTCTAACCCAGTTAGAAGACTATTTAGCTTAGTGTTTTTCAACCTTGGCAAGTTGAGGGCTTTTAACTCCCAGAATCCCCCCCCCCAGCCTGCCTGCTTTAAGACAGGTGGACTTCAACTCCCAGAATCCCCCCCAGGCAGCATTCCGGCTGGGAAATTCTGGCACTTGAAATCCTTCCATCCTTCACTTGTCCTATCTCTTTGAAAAACCTCACATTTTTACTCTTAAAAAGCTTGAAAAAAATCTCAGGCTCGTTGGCTGTTGGGACAGGAGGCCACCAAGAGATCCCCCAAAACATCACCTTCCTTATCTTGTGAGAAATAAAGAATTATTCCTGTAAAAGAAAGAGCAATAATAATGCCATGTTAGCCTTTGTGTAACCCAAGGGCCTTCAAACTTGGCAAGTTTAAGACTTGCGGACTTCCAACTCCCAGAATTCCAGAGCTCACATGATTGGAGGAGGAGGAATTCTGGGAGTTGAAGTCCACAAGTCTGAAAGCTGTCAAGTTTGAAGACCCCCCTGGTGTAAGAATCCCTGACGGGAAATTATGTAAGGAATTGTGAAAGGAAATGAACAAGGCTGTAAAAACTTTTAAGCATATTCCCAATTAGGACATTAGTTGGCAGGTCAACAACTAAGTTGGCAGGTCAAAGGAAAATAGTTTGCAGGTCAAGAAACCAGTTGTCATGATAAAATTAATAATAGTAGGATGTTGCAGTTATCAAGGGGATTGAGTAACTGGATAGGTCAAGGGTCTTCCTGCAGCTGGTGCAGCCGGCGGAATCGGACAGTGGGGAAGAACAGGGACCAGTCAGGGAGTTTGGAGAGGATTCGGATGAGGGTCCTGCATCCGATGCAGAGATGGGGCCAGGACCATCTGGGAGTGGGGTGCTGACTCTGGAGCCTCCGGAGTCTGGCAGCAGCGAGGCAGAGGAGTAAGGGGAGCCTGTGCTCAGTGTGCATATGTGCAGAACTGCCAGAAGGCAAGAGCAGCTAAGACAAAAGGGGCGACTCGGGAGTAAGGCTTGGAGGTGATTGCCCCTCCCATAAGGTATAAAGGAAGTGCAAAGGTAGGGAAACCTTTGCAGGAAGCAAAGTCGTTCGTTCTGTTCGGATTAAATCTTCCAAGCTCTGTGTGGACTTTGTACTTCGGTTGGTTTTTTTTAATAGTTCATTTGGCACCTTTAGTTGTCGGCAGCCATTCAAAGGAGAGAAAGGTGGGTGCTTATCTCAAGGGACTGTTTGAGACTCATTACCGGCTGGGAATGCACATAATTCCCAGCACTGAACTCAAACAAGAATTGTTTTAATTAAAGGTGTTCTTCCTTACAGTCTCAGAAAGCTTTGGTCGGAACACTAAGCAGATTGATTTCTTTAAAAAAATAATTGTTTTTTTTCTTTTTTAAAAGAGTTTTGAAGTGTGAAGCCTTCCATTCACCTCTTTGGCCCATTTCGGGAGATGAAACCGGTTGTCATCTAAGGTGATTAACTGGATGTTCTTGTGCGAACTTTTGGCCAAGGCTGGGCCAAGATCCAAGGCAATGAATTCACGTTGTGATTCCGCGGTGAATCCCATTGTCTGGAAAGGATAATTTTTCACAAATCCAGAGGAAGGTTCGTTCTGAGCGGTGATAGCCCAAAAGGTTAAATTCTGCTTGGCATATTCATCGAGGAACCTTGGCCGGGAGAAAAAGACAAGCCTTGCTCACATTTTAAACCAGCAAAAATGATCAACTCCTGAATGCAACCATCTAAAATACTTTTTTTTTACTTTAAAAACTGGTCTTTTTTTCACTTAATTTTTTTTTCTTTCATTTTTAAAACTGTTTTTTCATTTTTAAAACTATTTCTTTTTAATTTTAGAAACTATTTTAATTTAAAACTATCTTTTTTAATTTAAAACCATCTTTTTTAATTTTAAAAACTGTTTAATTGTCATTTTAAAAATATTTTTTCATTTTAAAAACTATTGTTTAATTATAAAAACTGTTTTTTTTTTCATTTGAAAAACTGTTTTTTCATTTTAAAAACTTTTTTTCATTTTAAAAAATATTTTAAGTGAAAAAAAATTAATTTAAAAAACTTAATTTTAAAAACTATTTTTTAATTTGAGAAAGTATGTTTAAATGTTAAAAACTATTTTTCATTTTAGAAACTTTTTTAATTTCAAAAACTATTTTTCATGTTAAAAAATAATTTTTAACTTGGAAGGATATGTTTAACTCTGAAAACTATTTTTCATTTTAAAAAATAACTTTTCATGTTGAAAAAGTAACTTCTAATTTAAAAACATAAGTTAATGTTAAAAAATAATAATTTTTGATTCTGAAAATAATTTTTAAATTGAGTTTAACTTTTTTAAAGCAAGGACGGCTAGACACACTGAGTGAACGTGCATGTTCACTTACTAAAGGTTGAACCGCTCAATTTCATAACATAATTACTAAGAAAACTTTCACAGGTACCATCCAATGGGTCAGGCCTGGTTCTTCCAAATTGGGGGCTCAATCTTTCCTAGAGATTTTAAAAAACTGGCTCCACCCACTCAGCCCCTCTGCAAAAGAAAACTCGGCCAGGTCAAGATTTAAGAAAGCCAAATAAATTTGCTACATAAAATAAAAAGAAATAAACACGGAAAGAAGAGATGCAGCCTGCAGCTCCATCATCTTTCAAGAGACGAATTGGAAAAATCAGGATCTCTTATTCCATTTGCCAACTACAACCCCCAAAATAAAGACATTTGTCTGACTGTTTTCACCTGACAAAATAGGAAGCCCAGGTTTTGTGGATGGAATCCCCTGCCTGCCCCTTCAGCCAACCCTTTCCTTTCCAGTCCTCGTTGGTCTTCATCCAAATCGGAGCCGTCCACGGACTGGCCATAAGGGAGATGGGCCTCTTTGACATAGCCTTGGCCCGATGGATGATGGGGATCTGTGGGGAAGAGGAAATAGAATAGAATAAACAGAGTTGGAAGGGACCTTGGAGGTCATCTAGTCCAACCCCCCCCCCTTGCTTAGGCACCACTTCAGACAAAAGGGTTATCCAACATCTTTTTTAAAAAGTCCATTCACATGTTGGCATTTAGCCCCAACCAGGTTGGCAAAAATGTGCCCTAATCTAAATCCAAATTGTTGGGAAGGTAAACAGGTACTTTCTTTCATGTATGGTGGCTCTACCCTGAAGTTAAAAAAATACTGGATCAAAATAACAAAAATGGCTGTATGAAATTACAGGATGTCCAATAGAACTGAAGCCGGAACTTCAGTTCCTTCTGGGGATTATTGAGGGAAAATATGCTAAAAAGACAAAAGGACATGATTTTTGCCTATAATTACAGCAGCGAGAATCGCACTCGCACAATGCCGGAAAGAAGACGCGATGCCGTCAGACTGTTTTGTAATCCAAAAGATTTGAAGATTTGTGAAGAAATGGATAAACTCACTTTAAGAGTTAAAGGACAAGGAAGACTCGGAATATTATACAGCTGGGAAAATTGGTATCAATGATTAGATACTAGGAATAAGAAATGTACAGATTAGAGGAAGATATAGATATGGATATGAATAACTAGAAATGTACGGGATTATGTTGAGGTAACAAAGATATTTTAGTACTGTCAAAGATGATGGAGAATTGTAAAAAGCTATCTTTAAATTTATTTGTATTTTAATGTTACAAATTTCAATAAAGGTTTTTCAATTTTTTTTAAAAAAAAAACGCATTTACAACTTCTCGAAGCCGCCCAGAGTCATCCCCATATCCCTCTGCCAACCCCTCCCCCGATCTTTTGTGTGTGTGTGTGTGTGTGTGTGTGCGTGTGTGTGTAAAGCTTACTTTCATTAGTAAGTCTTCTGCAACCAGGCTGAAATTCTTCAACTCGTAGTCATACGGAAAATCATCGTAGGTGTATGGCCGGACAGAGAAGTCACAACTCGCCATGGGCATACGCACAATATTGTATTCAATCCCTGTGGTGTGTAAATAGGCAGACAGTCAGTCAGTGTGTGTGTGTGTGTGTGTGTGTGTGTGTGTGCAGGGGTGGGTGGGTGGATTTGAGCACAATAACTCAGCTTGTATGCAATCAGACCGCTGGTTAGCTTGGCCGGGCCAAGAATTGAGATATTTATTTTTATTTTTTGCTTTGCAAATTCTAAATCCAAAACTTAGCAACTGGACCACACAGTCACAAAAGGGTTGTGTGTTGCCGTCGTAAAAGAGGGCAAAACTCCCTGGATGAAATGTCAATATGCTCAATATGTGGTCTTTAAATCAAGGACTAGCTGTAGAAACACAGAAGGAATCTATGCTGATTGGCACCCCAGGAATGTAATCTTAAAGCGCCCAAGCAGGGAGACCCTACACCATTTCTGACAGATTACAGATTAACAGAGTTGGAAGGAACCTTGTAGGTCATCTAGTCCA